TTTGTGTGTGTGTGTGTTTTTGGTTTTTTTTTTGTGCATGATTTGATATATTTTGTTGAGATTTTAGAATTCTGAAGAAAAGCAGGCTTTTGAACATGCTTTCTAAAGTAGGAAACAAATAACCATTTGTGGAACAAACTGTACTTTCGGTCAACATGGTTTTCAGTATCTATATTCTTATTTTGGTTGTCTGTTTAATTTTCCAGTTGAAATGTTCTCTGTTTCTTTCTCAGACCCACTGTATCTTTTCAGGCTTGATATACATCGTCAGTACCTCAATCTTTGTGGTTCTGAAACCATTTCTCATGTTTTTTTTGCTGCAGCCACTGCAGGGCACTCACCTGTATTTCCATTATTTTCCCTCTCTGTGTCATGTACAACAGACACTTGTTGCTTCAAAACAGCGAGATCATTGAACATGCACTTCCCTCATCTCCCATCTCCCATCTCCCCCCCCCCCCCCCCCCGCCTTCCCCCCTCGCCTTCCTCCAGTGAAGAAACTGGGATGTGGGAGTGATTTTATAATATGGCCATTGTGTGCCAGGTGGTTTGAACAGATTTCATTGGTAAATGTAAGCAACTCTTTCTGCCTCTTTGATGTGAATTTTCCTCATTGTACCTACCTTGAACTTTCCTTGAATCCTTCAATGGCTCTTGGAGTATTCCAAAATGTCATTTGGTCAGTACTTGCTGGTAAGTTCAAAGTGGACTCACCTAATTGTCAAAAGTGAAAATTTGTTTTCTTTCAGCTATGTCATCTGAAGATGACCACACCTTAATGCCAAATACTGGAATACCAGATTTATTCTCTGAAGTTATATTGGTAAGATATATCGCTTTGATAATATTCACTTAATGAATACCTTGGTATTTGAGGAAGAGTGTGATGAGAAGAGAGGATATTAATATAAACAGAACAGATCTGAAGCAGTTACCAGAATAAAATAGTTGTTTCCTAAAGATGTCAGGTATATTATGCATTTGGGAAACCTCCCGTTTAAAGTCAATTACATTGGCAGATCAGTGTGTTTCTGCACGTGAAGATTGAAAACAACATTTTACTGTCATGCATTCTTAGAAAGGAAATCTGGATAAACTAAGAAAGGAAGAGAGAGGTAGAGACAGATAGAAACATCAATGGTGTGAGAGAATCATTGACTGGCTGCCTCCTATACACCCCACACTGGGGATTGAGCCCGCAACCTGGTCATGTGTCCAGAATGGTAATTGAGTGAGTGACCTCTTGGTGCATGGGTCAGCACACAACACTAAGCCACACCAGCTGGACCAGGCAGAATAATCTTGTTCTGAGATCATAATAAATTTCCAACTAGGATTATGGTTCTTATGTGTCCTATCCCATGAGAACTGAATTCCATTAACCCCTTTAAAAAAAAAAAAAAAATATATATATATATATATATATATATATATATATATATATATATATATAATTGATTTTTTACAGAGAGGAAGGACGAAGGATAGAGAGTTAGAAACATCAGTGAGAGAGAAACATCGATCAACTACCTCTTGCACACCCCCTCCTGGGGATGTGCCCGCAACCAAGGTACATGCCCTTGACTGGAATCGAACCCGGGACCCTTTGGTCTGAAGGCTGATGCGCTATCCACTGAGCCAAACCGATTTCGGCCCATTAACCCTTTTATTCAAAGTTAGATTCTTTTTTTGTGTTTTCACTTTCTCTGTATTCAGAAGTATGGCACATGATATGCAAATACTGGCATCACAAGTTAAAAGTGAGCTTGTTACACATGTGGAAACACAGGCCCCATCTCAGACCTTGGATCAGAATCTGTGTCTTTACAGAAGTTAATTTCCTTGTGGTCTGCTTCACACTTGAAAAGAAGTCTATTTACTTCTAACCAGCCTGACATTTTCTACTGAGAAATATGCATCATTGACCCTGACCGATGCAAATGCAGCCTTCAGAAGTACCTGGGCCTCTGTCCATGCCTTAATTTTTAAGTTTATTTTCCTATAAAGTGAAATTAGAACCGTGGATTTGTGGACAAGTGTCATCCTCATGTGTCAGTGTTTAAAACACCAAAGAATATTACCGGGGTAAAATGATCTTACTGGACAATTTAGAATACCCCCTAGGTCAAAATCTCTTCTCCTAACAGTTTTCATGTTGGCTGACATTGTGAACTCTTCTGGTGACCTGTTGGTAAATGTGTGTTTTCCTTTAGGGACCATTGACCTTCAGGGATGTGACCATAGATTTCTCTCAGGAGGAGTGGGAGTGCCTGGACCCAGCTCAGCAGAAATTGTACCTGGATGTGATGTGGGAGAACTACAGCAACCTGGCCTCCGTGGGTAAAGATGATTCTTTTCCGAGTTCCTACTCCACCCACAGGGTTTTGTTTCCTTTATTGTTTTAACATCTCTCAGGGCCTTCTGCTTTCTATGGTAGATTTTTGCTCTAGAGCATTGTTTCCCAAAGTGTGGTATGCGTACCCCCAGGGGTACGGGAAGAGTTTGGTGGGGGTATGCACTGCACCGTGCTTAGCTGCGCCTAATTCTACGTTCTCATGAGTATAGCTGAGTACATAACGGTACTCAGCGTTACGAAAATTATAGAAGGGATACACATATGTCAAAAGTTTGGGAAACACTGCTCTAGAGCAGGGGTCCTCAAACTTTTTAAAGTGGGGGCCAGATCACGGTCCCTCAGAGACTTGGAGGGCCGGACTATATGAACTACTAATTCCTACTATAACACTTCGGCTGCGCTCACTGCCCAAAAAACCTGGCGGGCCAGATCAGACTCCTCTGCGGGCCGCATGTGGCTCGCGGGCCGGAGTTTGAAGACGCCTGCTCTACAGGAACAAATTTGGCTCAGTGGATGGCACACTGGTCTACAGACTGAAAGGTCCCAGGTTCGATTCCGGTCAGGGGCCAATGATAGGGTTGCTCACTCGCTACCCAGTTGCATGTGTGACGGAGGCAACCAATCTATGATTCTGTCTCTTCATTGATGTTTCTATCTCTCTCTACCTCTCCCTTCTTCGCTGAAAACAATAAAAAATATAGTTTTTAAAAGAGGAACAAATTGGGGGTAGAAAAGAAAGGTTTTGTGATGTATGTGAATTCTCAGACCCACAATATGTTTTCTGCGTTGATATGTATCTTCAGTTATCGGTCTTCATTGTGCTCGAACAATTTCTCATTGTGTCTTTCTAGCATCCACTAAAGGGCACTTTCTAGCATCACTAAAGGGCACTTTCTAGCATCACTAAAGGGCACTTAAGGCCATTCTGTTGGCACTCTGTGTCACGCACAACAGACACTTGTTATTTAACATGCCTCAAAACAGGGAGATCATTGAACATGCACTTCCCTCCTCTCTCCAGTGAAGAAAGTGGGAATTGGGAGTTTTTATAATATTGCCATTGTGTGATGGGGGTTTGAGCAGGTATCATTGACAGATGTAAGCAACTCTTTGTCCCTCTTTGATGTGAGTTTTCCTCATTGTACCTATCTTGAGCTTTCTTTGAATCCTTCACTGGCTCTTGGAATACTCAAAAATGTCATTTGGCCTATAGTTGCCGGTAACTTTAAAGTGCACTCACCTGATTGTCAAAAGTGAAAATTTGTTTTCTTTCAGCTATGTCATCTGAAGATGACCACACCTTAATGCCAAATACCAGAATACCAGATTTATTCTCTGAAATGATGCTGGTAAGATATAAAAGGTATCACTTTGATAATGTCCACTTAATGAAAATCTCGGTATTTGAGGAAGAGAGTGATGAGAACAGAGGTTATTAATATAAACAGAACTAATCTGTTTATATTAATATAATACAATTGTTGTACCTGAAAAAGTCCAATGTATTATGCATTTGGAAAACCTTCCACTTAATAGTAAGTTAAATTGGCAGATCAGTGTTTTTCTGCACATGAAGGTTGAAAACAACTTTTATTGTTATGCATTCTTGGAAAGGAAATCTGGATATAGTAGGAATTCACATAGTCTGTACTATAAATAATTATTTCAAGTTAGTAAACTGTAGGGTTGGATTAAACTTTCATGCAATCATTTCTAAAATGTAGAGATTTCCAATATACCTATAAAATTTAAGTGTGCACAGTTGGGCAATCATTATATTAACTCTTTTAAATATATTTTAATTGAATTCAGAGAGGAAGGTAGAGGGAGAGAGAAACATCAATGATGAGAGAGACTCATTGATTTGATGCCTCCTACATGCCCCCCACTAAGGATGGAGCCCACAACCTGAGCATGTGCCTTTGACTGGAATCAAATCCAGGTCCCTTCAGTGTGCTTGCCAAAGCTCTATTCACTGAGCCAAAATCAGCTAGTGCTTTTATTTATATTTTCTTCAAAATATATATGTTTTTAATTCAGAGAGGATGAAAAGAGAAAGGCAAACATAAGTGATGAAAGAGACTCATTGACTGGCTGCCTCCTGTATTCCTCACACTGGAGACTGAATCCGAGGCCAGAGCTTGTGCCCTGATGGGGAATTAAACTGACCTTCTGGTTCAAATGTTAAGACTCAACCATCCAACCATGCTGGCTGGGCAATTTGGCAATCTTTGTTGTTGTTAATATACTTTATTGATATTTTTAAAGAGAGGAAGGAAGAGGGATAGAGAGTTAGAAACATTGATGAGAGAAAAACATTAATCAGCTTGCTCCTGTACACCCCCTACTGGGAATGTTCCTGCTTTTGACCAGAATCGAACCTTGGATCCTTCAGCTTGCAAGCCGAAATTCTGTCCACTGAGCCAAACCAGTTAGAGCTGGCAATCTTTTAAGTAAGGATTCATTCTTCTTCCTCTGACAATGTTTTGTATTTTGTCTATAATTCTAATAAATTAGGAGATATTTTGTTATACAACTATCATGGTTTAATGAGTATTACAAAATGGTTCTTTTGGAACACGTGTATATGTATAATGAAATTGTAACCATCAGTAAAGTTCTTTCTATCTCCCATTACTACCAGAGTACACATATTAGAGACAGAAGTTATCAATGGAACGAACATTGGAAAAACTTTAAGCAAGAGTCATATCTTAATCATTGGAGAAGTGAGTTCACAGAGGACAATTATGAAAGTGGAAGAGTCTGTGACCCAAGGGTCAGTCACAAAATGCACAAGGTTGTTCCTATCATGGAGAAGACACACAAAGAAAGTAAATGTGTCCAGTCTTTTCAGCAATCTTCAAATTAAACTGAACAAGAGAATATTCATACTGGGGAGGAGGCTTACCAATGGAACCATTGTGATACAATCTCCAGTCAAATATTCAATCTGAATAGATGCAAAAGACTTCATAGTGGAGAAAAACCTTATACGTGTAAAGATTTTTGTAAGACATCTAATTGGCCTTCAGAATGTATGCTAAATCAGAAAATTCATACTGGAGAGAAGCCTTACAAATGGAAAGCACATGCCAAAGCCTTTAAATGCCATTTATCTCTTGTTGTACATAAGGGAAAAATTCATACTATTGCAAAATTTTACAAACTCAGGGAAAATGGAAAAGGCTTTAGCCATTCCTCCAAACATTCAACATCATAAGAATCACATGGGAGAAAAATTTTATAAATGTTCAGTATGTGACAAAGCCTTTAGCTGGCCATCAGCCCTTAGCATTCATCACAGAGTTCATACTAGAGAGAAGCCGTATAAATGTAGAGAATGTGGCAAAGCCTTTAGCCAACACTCAGCTCTTAGTATTCATCAGAGAATTCACACTGGAGAGAAACCTTATAAATATAAAAAAATTGGCAAATCCTTTATCAGTAAGGCAAATCTTACTTATAATCAAAGTTTTCATACTGAAGATAAGTCATATAAATTTAGAGAATGTGGTAAAGGATTCCTTCATGCGTCAAACATGAATTGACATCAAAAAGCTCATAATGGAGAGAAACATTACAAATGTAGAGAATGTGACAAAGCCTTTAGAGATTCCTTCTCCCTCAGTAGACAGAGAGTTCATACAGGAGAGAAGCCTTACAAATGTAGAGATTGTGGCAAAGCTTTTAGTCAGTCCTCACACCTTACTGTGCATCAGAGTATTTTTACTGGGGAGAAGAAGCATGTATGTCAAGAATGTGGCAAATTCTTCACAGACGCCACAACCCTTATTGCACATCATAGAATACATACGGGGGAGAAGCCTTATAAATATAGAGAATGTGGCAAAGCCTTTAGACATTTCTCACACCTTACTACACACGAGAGAGTTCATACCAGAGAGAAGCCATATAAATGTAAAGAATGTGGCAAAGCCTCAAGCCAGTCCTCATCCCTTAATCAACATTAGAGAGTTCATACTGGTGAGAAGTCTTTCAAAATTAGAGAATGTGGCAAAGGATTCAGATTGGCATAATCCTTTAATTATCAGAGAATTCATACTGGAGAGAAGCCTTATAAATGTAATGGATGTGGCAAAGCCTTTACCCATTACTCATCCCTTAATAGTCATCAGAGGGTTCACACTGGAGAGAAGCCTTAAAAATGCAGAGAATGTGATAAGTCATTTGGCACCTCCTCATCCCTTACTTCTCATCAGAGGGTTCACACTGGAGAGAAATCCTACAAATGTAGAGAATGTGGCAAATCCTTTGGCAGCTCCTCACACCTTACTTATCACCAGAGACTTCACATGGGAGAAAAGCCTTATACATGTAGAGAATGTGGCAAAGCCTTCACTGCCTCATCACACCTTACTGTCCACCCAAGAGTTCATACTGGAGAGAAACCTTATAAATGTAATGAATGTGGCAAAGTCTTTAGCCAGTCTTCCTCCCTTACTTCTCATCAGAGAGTTCACACTGGAAAGAAGCCCTATAAATGTAGAGAATGTGGCAAATCCTTTGGCTGCTCCTCAGACCTTACTAAGCATCAGAGAGTTCATTCTGGAGAGAAGCCTTATAAATGTAGAGAATGTGGCAAAGCCTTTAGCCAGTCCTCATCTGTTACTTTTCATCAGAGAGTTCACCATAGAGAGTAGCTTTATAAATGTAGAAAATGTAAGAAAGCCATTTATCAGTGTTCCTGCCTTACTGCACAACAGAGATAGAAGTCTTAGGATTGTGAGGAGTGTTGTCCGTTCTTGACCAACTGTGAGAACTTACTGAACATCACAGAATTCATATTGGAAAGAAGCCTTATGAATGTGAAAACTATAAAAATCCTTTAATAGCCATTCATGTATTACTGGAAACTCCATAACAAAAAGAGACCTCACAAATGTAGAGAATGGGCTTGAGCCTTTACCCATAGCTCAAAATTACTGAATATCAAAGATTATTTAGTGGAGGAAAGTCTTACACTGTAAAAAAAAAAAAAAAGTGAAAAATCCTTTAACCTGTGGTCAAACTTAACATTTTAGGCATCATTCTACAGAGAAAGAGAAATAATATAAAGTATTTGGCGAAAGATTTAACCATGGTTGAAACTTCATTGAGAATGATAAAATTAGGTCTTCAAAATTATGAAGTATATATCAAAGTGCTTATCTTTATTTATATGTCACACAACACCTGATAATTATTACTGGATAGAAGCCCAGCAGATAAAAAGAATGTGACAAAGCTTATTCAGTATGCAAACCTTACCTGACATCAGAATTCATACAGAGACAAACAATAAAAATGTAAACAATGTCCTAAAGTCTTTAATCGGCATCCATAGCTGATTAGAATTCATTCTAGAGGGAAACCTTAAATCTAAAGAATGTGGGAAATTGTATAGTGGGACTTACAGCCTCAGTCAATATTAGGGATTGTAATTGGGTAGAAATTCTACAATCATGATATAGGAGGAAGGACTTTTGTTCAAAGTGCACAGTTTACAAATCTGCAAGGAATTTATACCTGAAAGTGACCTTCAAGATGTAAAAACTTGACTCAAGTATGTATCATATTTTCCGGCTTAAAAGACGACCCCCTAATTTTACAGTTAAAACATAGGTTTAGGCCTATATTTGCTGTTTAAGACTACCCCCCACTTCCAAGGCAACACCAGTTCTTTTTTTAATAGACCGCTTCTCTGACTCTGGCCAATCTGAGCAGGCTTTTTACTAGAACAGTGTTGCTTCGGGTACAGAACATGTATAATTTGCAAGCATAAAAAGCCTGCTCGGATTGGCTGAGTTAGAAAGGCGATCTATTAAAAAAAAAAAACTGGTATTGCCTCGGAATTGGGGGGTAGTCTTATACAGCGAATATAGGCTTAAACCTATGTTTTAACTGTAAAATTAGGAGTCGTCTTATACAACGGAAAATGCGGTAATTGATTATAAAGTTTAAAGTATCATTGAATTCACACTAGATAGGTAGCCAAAATGTCTTTCTGGTAGTGCTCTAAATCTGAATGGTTATTACATAGTGTCCTACAAACTTTAAATGTAGTTAGGTATATTTTGTATGTTTGAGTATATCAAAAGAATTGATGTTTTCATATGTACAATTTTTTAAAGTGTTATTTATATTGAAGTCACTTGAAGTATTTTGAAAAGGAAATATGATTCTTCTCCCATATCACTTGATGCTGTTACGTTTTATTACTGGTGTTTGTATATGACACAATGGAGTTGATTGTTTCTGCCTTAACGATCTGTGAGCTGTTGTATATTATATGGACTTCACTTTTGTGTACTTTCCCATGGAATATTTAATACATTGTAAGGCACACTATTTTTCTTCTATTAGAGAACTAGAGGCCCAGTGCTTATGCACAAGTAGGGTCTTTAGGCCTGGGTGCTGATCAGGGCCAATCAGGTTTCCCACTTCCCCACCTCCTCCTTCCCTTGCCACTTGTGCACCACCACCATTGTTTGCCCACCATATTCTGTGCCACTCTCTGGTGGTCAGCGCCAATCACGATTGTCTGGTGTTCTGGTTGAACTCCCCCGAGGGGATAATTTACATATTATCCTTTTATTATATAGGATTATTATATAGGATAACACTATGGAAAGAATCTTTTAAAATTCTTCTCTAGGTTGGTAAATGATATCATCAAAATTAAATTTTTTTTCTGTGCCAATGTGTTCAGCTGAAAATTTTTTAGGGCTTATCAGTTTGTGGTTGTCACATTTAGGTGACCGGAACAGGATAGTGCTGTCTGTGTAATAGGTCTTCATTAATTAAGAGGAATATTGCAATACCTGTAACATTGTTGTATCCAGGCTGCAGAATTGGTATGAACTCTGCATGTGGAGAGAGGACACATTTCCCAGGCTGCACTGCTAGCTGAACTCAGAAAAGTTAATTCTATCTTTCATTTCCTATTTCCTATTCCTCTCTGGTTTTTCACTTTGTCTTCTAGGCTGCCATTCTTTTTGCAGTGCTATGACCACAGCATGTAAAGCTCTTCCTGAACCACATTAGCTTTTCAAACCCTGTAGCTTCTACTCAGTAGTATAGAATTTAATAATGCAAAGGCTGACATCAGAATTTGATGAATATTTTGCTTTATTTTCAGGAATCAGGTAGCCCACTATTCAGGTTCTCATGCTTAATACTTATAGTTTTTAATACAAATATAAAGTTTTGGAATACCACAAATTGGCATCTGTGTACTTTGTAATTGGAATGCTTTTCTGGTAGTGATTTTTATTGGAAACCCTACGAATTTCTCAGTGTTATCTTTTAACTTCTTTTTTATTTTTAATTTTTATTTTTAATATTTTTAATTGATTTTTTACAGAGAGGAAGAGAGAAGGATAGAGAGCCAGAAACATCAATGAGAGAATCATCAATCAGCTGCCTCTTACACACACCCCACTGGGGATGTGCCCGCAACCAAGGTACATGCCCCTGACCGGAATCGAACCCAGGACTTTTCAGTCCACAGGCTGACGCTCTATCCATTGAGCCAAACCGGTCCCGGCTAACTTCTTTAAAAAAATAAAATAAATTATTTTTTTACAGAGGGGAAGGGAGAGAGACAGAGATCTAGAAACATTGGTGAGAGAGAAACATCAATCATCTGCCTCCTACACACCCCACAATGGGGATGTGCCAGATCCCATAGCCCTTGACCGGAATCTTGGTTGGGGTTAATTTGCATACTCTCTTTCTGATTGGCTGGTGGGCGTGGCTTGTGCAGCAGGGTGATGGTTAATTTGCATATTACTATTTTATTAGGTAGGACAGGCCATTGAGATTATAGGAATTACCAAATTAACATTTATTTGAAAATGTACTCCCAGAACACAAAGACTTTTATTGTATTTTACATTAAAATTTTTCTGGTACATTCCAAAATCAGTTTGGCTCAGTGGATTGAGCGT